CTTTTCTGGTTCTCTATGGTTCCAGCATGCATGCATTTTGTGTGAGGTATTAACTTAAACCTTTTTGACTTGTTTAAAGTATAATAGTTATTTACAAGGTTTTCATTTCCCTTTGGAGTTTACAGGATTCCGACCAGTCTTTTGTATATTATCATCTTTTCATTAAGCACTGATACACCGGAGGTCTTTCAGATGTCGTAATAAGCTGGAATATTCACTATATTACTCTGCATGCTTGCATGAATTGAAATAAAATGTATACACCTGTAGATGTTCATTCATTCATTCATTCATTCATTCATTCATTCATTCATTCATTCATTCATTCATTCATCCATCCATCCATCCATCCATCCATACATCCATCCATCCATTGAGTTTGATTTCAAATTGCTTCAGTGTTTTTAACATCTGTCTTTTTACTTATTTTACAGGTTATTAAATGATAACATCATTGTTTAATCAAATCTTTCTTTCTTTTATCAAATCATTGTGTTTTATTTATCAAACTAATGTTTTGTTTATCAAATATTTTACATATCAAATCACTGTGTTTTATCAAATCATTGTTTAAATAACCAAATCATTGTTTTGTTTATTAAATTATTTTTTGTTTATCTAAACAATATGTAACAAATTATTCTAACTATTAGTGGCTATTTCTTACTGTATTTTACGGAACAGTGAATGATTATACTGATATAGCGGTTTGTCCTATCATCACTAAGATATAGCGGTTTGTCCTATCATCACTAAGATATAGCAGTTTGTCCTATCATTAAAAAGATACCTTAGTTTGTCCTATCATCACTAAGATATAGCGGTTTGTCCTATCATCACTAAGATATAGCGGTTTCTCCTATCATCACTAAGATATAGCGGTTTGTCCTATCATCACTAAGATATAGCGGTTTGTCCTATCATCACTAAGATATAGCGGTTTCTCCTATCATCACTAAGATATAGCAGTTTGTCCTATCATCACTAAGATATAGCAGTTTGTCCTATCATCACTAAGATATAGCGGTTTGTCCTATCATCACTAAGATATAGCAGTTTGTCCTATCATCACTAAGATATAGCAGTTTGTCCTATCATCACTAAGATATAGCAGTTCATCCTATCATCACTAAGATATAGCAGTTTGTCCTATCATCAAAAAGATACCTTAGTTTGTCCTATCATCACTAAGATACCTTAGTTTGTCCTATCATCAAAAAGATACCTTAGTATCATCACTAAGCAGTTTGTCCTATCATCACTAAGATATAGCCCTATCATCAAAAAGATACCTTAGTTTGTCCTATCATCACTAAGATATAGCAGTTTGTCCTATCATCACTAAGATATAGCGGTTTGTCCTATCATCACTAAGATATAGCAGTTTGTCCTATCATCAAAAAGATACCTTAGTTTGTCCTATCATCAAAAAGATACCTTAGTTTGTCCTATCATCAAAAAGATACCTTAGTTTGTCCTATCATCACTAAGATATAGCGGTTTGTCCTATCATCACTAAGATATAGCGGTTTCTCCTATCATCACTAAGATATAGCGGTTTGTCCTATCATCACTAAGATATAGCGGTTTCTCCTATCATCACTAAGATATGGCAGTTTGTCCTATCATCACTAAGATATAGCAGTTTGTCCTATCATCACTAAGATATAGCGGTTTGTCCTATCATCATCACTAAGATATAGCAGTTCGTCCTATCATCACTAAGATATAGCAGTTTGTCCTATCATCAAAAAGATACCTTAGTTTGTCCTATCATCACTAAGATACCTTAGTTTGTCCTATCATCAAAAAGATACCTTAGTTTGTCCTATCATCACTAAGATATAGCAGTTTGTCCTATCATCACTAAGATATAGCGGTTTGTCCTATCATCACTAAGATATAGCAGTTTGTCCTATCATCACTAAGATATAGCAGTTTGTCCTATCATCAAAAAGATACCTTAGTTTGTCCTATCATCAAAAAGATACCTTAGTTTGTCCTATCATCAAAAAGATACCTTAGTTTGTCCTATCATCACTTAGATATAGCAGTTTGTCCTATCATCAAAAAGATACCTTAGTTTGTCCTATCATCAAAAAAAAGATACCTTAGTTTGTCCTATCATCAAAAAGATACCTTAGTTTGTCCTATCATCAAAAAGATACCTTAGTTTGTCCTATCATCAAAAAGATACCTTAGTTTGTCCTATCATCATAAATATATAACAGTTTGTCCTATCATCACTAAGATATAGCAGTTTGTCCTATCATCATAAATATATAACAGTTTGTCCTATCATCATAAATATATAACAGTTTGTCCTATCATCATAAATATATAGCAGTTTGTCCTATCATCACTAAGATATAGCCGTTTGTCCTATCATCAAAAAGATACCTTAGTTTGTCCTATCATCACTAAGATATAGCAGTTTGTCCTATCATCACTAAGATATAAGAGTTTGTCCTATCATCAAAAAGATACCTTAGTTTGTCCTATCATCAAAAAGATACCTTAGTTTGTCCTATCATCAAAAAGATACCTTAGTTTGTCCTATCATCAAAAAGATACCTTAGTTTGTCCTATCATCACTAAGATATAGCAGTTTGTCCTATCATCACTAAGATATAGCAGTTTGTCCTATCATCACTAAGATATAGCAGTTTGTCCTATCATCACTAAGATATAAGAGTTTGTCCTATCATCAAAAAGATACCTTAGTTTGTCCTATCATCAAAAAGATACCTTAGTTTGTCCTATCATCAAAAAGATACCTTAATTTGTCCTATCATCACTTAGATATAGCAGTTTGTCCTATCATCAAAAAGATACCTTAGTTTGTCCTGTCATCACTAAGATATAGCAGTTTGTCCTATCATCACTAAGATATAGCAGTTTGTCCTATCATCACTAAGATATAGCGGTTTGTCCTATCATCACTAAGATATAGCGGTTTCTCCTATCATCACTAAGATATAGCAGTTTGTCCTATCATCACTAAGATATAGCAGTTTGTCCTATCATCACTAAGATATAGCAGTTTGTCCTATCATCACTAAGATATAGCAGTTTGTCCTATCATCACTAAGATATAGCAGTTTGTCCTATCATCACTAAGATATAGCAGTTCATCCTATCATCACTAAGATATAGCAGTTTGTCCTATCATCAAAAAGATACCTTAGTTTGTCCTATCATCACTAAGATACCTTAGTTTGTCCTATCATCAAAAAGATACCTTAGTTTGTCCTATCATCACTAAGATATAGCAGTTTGTCCTATCATCACTAAGATATAGCGGTTTGTCCTATCATCACTAAGATATAGCAGTTTGTCCTATCATCACTAAGATATAGCAGTTTGTCCTATCATCAAAAAGATACCTTAGTTTGTCCTATCATCACTAAGATATAGCAGTTTGTCCTATCATCAAAAAGATACCTTAGTTTGTCCTATCATCACTAAGATATAGCAGTTTGTCCTATCATCACTAAGATATAGCAGTTTGTCCTATCATCAAAAAGATACCTTAGTTTGTCCTATCATCAAAAAGATACCTTAGTTTGTCCTATCATCAAAAAGATACCTTAGTTTGTCCTATCATCACTAAGATATAGCGGTTTGTCCTATCATCACTAAGATATATCGGTTTCTCCTATCATCACTTAGATATAGCAGTTTGTCCTATCATCACTAAGATATAGCAGTTCGTCCTATCATCACTAAGATATAGCAGTTTGTCCTATCATCAAAAAGATACCTTAGTTTGTCCTATCATCACTAAGATACCTTAGTTTGTCCTATCATCAAAAAGATACCTTAGTTTGTCCTATCATCACTAAGATATAGCAGTTTGTCCTATCATCACTAAGATATAGCAGTTTGTCCTATCATCACTAAGATATAGCAGTTTGTCCTATCATCACTAAGATATAGCAGTTTGTCCTATCATCAAAAAGATACCTTAGTTTGTCCTATCATCAAAAAGATACCTTAGTTTGTCCTATCATCAAAAAGATACCTTAGTTTGTCCTATCATCATAAATATATAACAGTTTGTCCTATCATCACTAAGATATAGCAGTTTGTCCTATCATCATAAATATATAACAGTTTGTCCTATCATCATAAATATATAACAGTTTGTCCTATCATCATAAATATATAGCAGTTTGTCCTATCATCACTAAGATATAGCAGTTTGTCCTATCATCAAAAAGATACCTTAGTTTGTCCTATCATCACTAAGATATAGCAGTTTGTCCTATCATCAAAAATAAGATTTGTCCTATCATCAAAAAGATACCTTAGTTTGTCCTATCATCAAAAAGATACCTTAGTTTGTCCTATCATCAAAAAGATACCTTAGTTTGTCCTATCATCAAAAAGATACCTTAGTTTGTCCTATCATCACTAAGATATAGCAGTTTGTCCTATCATCACTAAGATATAGCAGTTTGTCCTATCATCACTAAGATATAGCAGTTTGTCCTATCATCACTAAGATATAAGAGTTTGTCCTATCATCAAAAAGATACCTTAGTTTGTCCTATCATCAAAAAGATACCTTAGTTTGTCCTATCATCAAAAAGATACCTTAATTTGTCCTATCATCACTTAGATATAGCAGTTTGTCCTATCATCAAAAAGATATAGCAGTTTGTCCTGTCATCACTAAGATATAACAGTTTGTCCTATCATCACTAAGATATAGCAGTTTGTCCTATCATCACTAAGATATAGCAGTTTGTCCTATCATCACTAAGATATAAGAGTTTGTCCTATCAGCAATATGATGCATTAGTTTGTCCTTTAATCACAGACATTTTAATAACCTACATGACCTCTACAATATCATAAAGACAACAGATTTTGAACCCCCATGACTTTTTTGGCGGCATACATAGACATTTTACATTTGGCGGCCTTTAGTATTAGTGACAGATCCCTTGTCAATGACCTTTAACTTTGAACTCACCATGTAATTGTGTTTTCAGGCCAATTCCAGCTTCTTGGTGCTTTCTACACAAAAGGATGTTGTAGAGCTGGACATTGGTCATCTATTGAACCCACCGTCCTGGATGGAGGATGAAAATGAGATGGACATAGAGTTTATCAGAAAGTAGGTCACAGTTACTACAATTGGTCAATGGTGTAATTTATCAGAATATTTTGAAAAAAGTAACATCAGTATTGTGTGAAGTTGATGACTGATAACACACAGTATTATTATGCATTGAATTTCTTTACTTGTGTTGATTAATTGTTCTGTTTCACTTGTCATATCTTTAATGATTTCATGATTATATCATGACATGATTACAGTCCCAACCCTTCAGAGGGAAGTAGCACTGACTTTTTTGTGGTGCAAGCTCCATCTGACAATCAGCAAAGTGGAATGACTTCTGGAATATCAAGTCCTCAGACTGGTGCCTCTACCCCTACACACCCTGGATCTGGGGTCTACTCACAGACAGGAAGGGGCACTAATGTGGTAAGTTTTTAGAGTTGAAAATTAATATGAAATGTAAATTAATTATGTTTTACTTCCTGATAGTTAATTCTTTAGCTCTTAAAACTTATCAAGTCTTTTCCAAAAGTTAGGTACGTTAATTTAGAACAAAGACAATAATTATAAAATTCTCTTTAGTCTTGCTTTATTGTTTGAGAAATGTAGCCATATTGCTTGTATCTTCTAGTCTGTGTCTAGGGTTAAAATGGGCATAGATACTAGTGTTTATTTCACTCGTAAAACGGGACATTTTTATTGGAAATAAATCCAAAATTGGTTGTAAATTTCTATATAAATTGTGGCATTACATCCATAAATGTATGTTAAATTTTCTCAAATTCAAAGAAACCATGGTTTTACAGCCAAGGGGGATAATCTATTGGTATCCAAACAATTGCCCAAGTTACCATGTCTTGAATATTGATCTCTCTAAGGAAGAACGTTTTACTTTTGGACATGTTTAAGCAGTTCTATTGATATATTCACAATAATGTTTCAATGTGGTGACTTTTCAAGTAATGACAAAAAATATTACAGGGTAATGTTCTTGACCTTCAAGGTTTTATGAAAGTCATGTGTTCAAATAAACATACATAGCTATTTAAATCATGTGCTAAGATCGCTATACATAGCTGAAGATATGATTCAGAATGACCAAACTTTACATAAACTTGTTTTTTCTCTACAGTCCACTAGTTTTAATCTATAAATAATGGAACTATGTCTCAGTTTAGAAGTGGCCCATTCTGAAAGAAAAGAAGCTTAAAAATTCAGTAAATAAATCTATTTTTAGAATTTCCTGGTTATTTTCCTGGACATTTTTTGGGTTTTTTTTGGCAAATGTTTCAAATTTTCTTTATCTGATAATGTTTGTTAGAAATTAACCTTGAACATTTGACGTGAATACTTTAATGAATGATAGTTGTCATTTACTTTTAAGATAGTGTAGAAATGTGTTACTGACACATGGTAGTAACTACCAACAGATCTCATTGAACAACTTCACTGTATAAATAAAACAACACGTCCTAATATTATAATACAGTGAACTTAAGTGGTGTAAAGTGGAGGGTTACACATCCTAATATTATAATTCAGTGAACTTAAGTGGTGTAAAGTGAAGGGTTACAATCGTTTTCAGAATTATCACACAAAGACAAACCATGATACTTTGAAACTGTCTTCTGTTTATTTTATCTTATATTAGTCACTCTGAAATTTTTGTATCAACTATTGCTATGAGTGAGATGATGATCCTTCATTCCATTAGCCACAAAATCTTCACTATTTACATAATGAGTAAATAGAGAGTATAACACAAAATCAAATAATTTCACACAGAAACCTTTCACAATGTTGGTATTAAATCAATTCACCATTCTTGTAAACAAATTTTGTAATATGACCTGCGCAGTTAATTTTTACAAAATATTTTGTATCCTCGAAAGTAGCATAAAATTCTTTGATAACATTGAAGAAAATTTCAGCGTATATTGACTTCAGATCTGATCTATTTTTCTAGATAAAACGTCATCTGAAACCAGAGGTAAATTAACACTAGTTTTCATTGTGTCTTACAGTATACAAACTGGGTTCAAATTTTACAGTCTGATTAGGAGATGCACATTTTTTCTCCACAACCAGATGTTAACTTTATTCTCTATTTGTTGGGGCCAAAGTACATAAAATTTTACAAAGGCTTGATTTTCTACTCATAAAATGTCTTTGAAATGGTGTCTTTCCATTGAGGTGACAGTGAAGGTCATTAAGGAAGGGCTTATCAAGGTCATCAGACTCGCTCTTTGTCTTGTGTACTTGGTCTCAGCATGGAGAAGAAATGACGTTTAATGATGGAGTGAAAATGTACAAATTAAACATTTATTTTATATCTCATATTTTTTTTTTCATAATGATTCCTTACTTGTAAAGTAGTCCAGGTGTAATTCATCTCTACTGTAGTCCAGGTGTACTTCATCTCTACTGTAGTCCAGGTGTACTTCATCTCTACTGTAGTTCAGGTGTACTTCATCTCTACTGTAGTTCAGGTGTACTTCATCTCTACTGTAGTCCAGGTGTACTTCATCTCTACTGTAGTCCAGGTGTACTTCATCTCTACTGCACATTCTCATATTTTCAATCATCTTTTTAGATCTCCTCTAATAAAAAGTGCTGATCTGTTAGGGACCTTCATATCTTTGTAACTGCCTGGTGTCTTTTGATTTCTGGCTTCCACAAGAGTGTGTTAGAAAAGTTTGGGATTGGTGTCATTCACTCATTCTTCCAGAAGTCCAGAATGGCTGGTGTTTTTATATACAAATAAACATTAAGTTTTATTGACTGTAATTTACCTTGGTTTAATTTCCATCTTCCTGTGTCTTTCTTTCTATCTGATACAGTTGCTGTAATTTTACCTTGGTATATTTCCATCTTCCTGTGTCTTTCTTTCTATCTGATACAGTTGCTGTAATTTTACCTTGGTATATTTCCATCTTCCTGTGTCTTTCTTTCTATCTGATACAGTTGCTGTAATTTACCTTGGTATATTTCCATCTTCCTGTGTCTTTCTTTCTATCTGATACAGTTGCTGTAATTTTACCTTGGTATATTTCCATCTTCCTGTGTCTTTCTTTCTATCTGATACAGTTGCTGTAATTTACCTTGGTTTAATTTCCATCTTCCTGTGTCTTTCTTTCTATCTGATACAGTTGCTGTAATTTTACCTTGGTATATTTCCATCTTCCTGTGTCTTTCTTTCTATCAGATACAGTTGCTGTAATTTTACCTTGGTATATTTCCATCTTCCTGTGTCTTTCTTTCTATCTGATACAGTTGCTGTAATTTTACCTTGGTATATTTCCATCTTCCTGTGTCTTTCTTTCTATCTGATACAGTTGCTGTAATTTTACCTTGGTATATTTCCATCTTCCTGTGTCTTTCTTTCTATCTGATACAGTTGCTGTAATTTACCTTGATTTAATTTCCTTCTTCCTGTGTCTTTCTTTCTATCTGATACAGTTGCTGTAATTTTACCTTGGTATATTTCCATCTTCCTGTGTCTTTCTTTCTATCTGATACAGTTGCTGTAATTTTACCTTGGTATATTTCCATCTTCCTGTGTCTTTCTTTCTATCTGATACAGTTGCTGTAATTTTACCTTGGTTTAATTTCCATCTTCCTGTGTCTTTCTTTCTATCTGATACAGTTGCTGTAATTTTACCTTGGTATATTTCCATCTTCCTGTGTCTTTCTTTCTATCAGATACAGTTGCTGTAATTTTACCTTGGTATATTTCCATCTTCCTGTGTCTTTCTTTCTATCTGATACAGTTGCTGTAATTTTACCTTGTAATTTCCCTTGTGTCTTTCTTTCTATCTGATACAGTTGCTGTAATTTTACCTTGGTATATTTCCATCTTCCTGTGTCTTTCTTTCTATCTGATACAGTTGCTGTAATTTTACCTTGGTATATTTCTTGTCTTTCTGTTCTTTATGTCACTATCAATTCATAGGGAACCTGGTGGAGTTACCTGTGTCCATCTGTCCTGTGGGGTGGTGTTCTGCTTTGTTGCATCTCATTGTGACACATCCCATTCTGAATCAATGCCAGATTTAGGGAAGCTCTGAACTTAAAAGATCAGACTCTGCACCTGATCAGTCTCTGCACAGTCTCTGCACCTGATCAGTCTCTGCACCTGATCAGTCTCTGCACAGTCTCTGCACCTGATCAGTCTCTGCACAGTCTCTGCACCTGATCAGTCTCTGCACAGTCTCTGCACCTGATCAGTCTCTGGACGGTCTCTGCACCTGATCAGACTCTGAATAGCATAGAAGGTGTGGCATTCATATCCTTACAGACATTTTCTGGGCATCTGTGAGAATGTGTTCAACATAATTTTATAAAAAAAGGCTGTTTCATCAGTTTCAAAACATTATCAAGAAATCATCCTTCAAACATTGTGGTTATTTCTAACTAACTCCACTCAGTATATTCACTTGAACATTTTTTATTCCTTAGAATCTTTTAATTACCAGCTCAATAAAAATATTCTAAAACCAATTTGATTTATTATAGATTTATTGATATTCTAAACATAATAGATATTATGAAATACTTGTTTTTGTTGATATATATAAATTTGCATCCAGTTATAAATGGTCTGTTTATTTTGCTTATTGACAACTTATGCTTAAGTGAATCTGTATTGTCATGATATGAATTAACAGATGAAATTGAAAATGTCATATTGGGCATAAATTTTTTAGAAACAAAAAATTAAACTAAAAGAGGTAAGTAAACAATGGGTGACAGACTGTGTGGCATCTATATAACAGTGCTGCTAATATATCCCATTATACACTGTGACAAGTAAAATAACAACACTTGCCAGGTTTACTCTCACTGTTTAAACATAAAGAAATGAGATCATGTTAATTCTCACAGATTAAACATAAAGGAATGAGATTATGTTGACTCTCACTGTTTAAACATAAAGAAATGAGATCATGTTAATTCTCACTGTTTAAACATAAAGAAATGAGATTATGTTAATTCTCACTGTTTAAACATAAAGAAATGAGATCATGTTGACTGTCACAGATTAAACATAAAGAAATGAGATTATGTTAATTCTCACAGATTAAACATAAAGAAATGAGATCATGTTGACTGTCACTGTTTAAACATAAAGAAATGAGATTATGTTAATTCTCACAGATTAAACATAAAGAAATGAGATTATGTTAATTCTCACTGTTTAAACATAAAGAAATGAGATCATGTTGACTGTCACAGATTAAACATAAAGAAATGAGATCATGTTGACTGTCACAGTTTAAACATAAAGAAATGAGATTATGTTGACTGTCACAGATTAAACATAAAGAAATGAGATCATGTTGACTGTCACAGATTAAACATAAAGAAATGAGATTATGTTGACTGTCACAGATTAAACATAAAGAAATGAGATCATGTTGACTGTC